TCGGGCGATCGGATGAACATTTCTTCAGAGAGGACTCGGGCGACATCAAACCCTTGGTGAGTCGTGAAGCAGTAGATCATAGCGGCCCGTGGCCTATTTACATCGGTGGTATTGCTGGATGGTAGCAACTGAGTGGTGATGATAGTGAGCCAACATTTGGCCTCCCAAGCAAGCGACTTATAGTGTAGAGTCGTCGGTTGTGCTACCCATTTGGGCTGTCTGCCAGGTATACAAATGACCTCCAGAATTCTGTCCCAGTCAACCATCGGACGGCTAGCCCTGATGTAATGATCATCACCCGTGAATGCGGGGAGGCAATACACTCTGCGGATGACCTCTATAGAAGCATTAACCAGGGTGTTGCGCACAGTCACAACCTTGTCCTCGTGTTCTGGCAGGTTTGCATAGAACTCCCTTACTAGCTGAATATTGGCTTCCTCAGGAGCCTCAAAGAAGATGTCCAGTTGACACCTCCATAGCTCATCAAACATATTGGGGCATTCCTTTACCATCCTTCTTGTCGATATGGACCTCATGGAGTAGCTTCTTGGCAAGTTTCTAATTGTACCTCGCCTCTGCTTCTTCATAGACGAACCGAGATCTATCAAACCGTGGTATGCTGGATTGGGCCCTAGCTCGTGAGGAGCCTTCTAGGCCACTCGTAGAGGACCCGGTGTTTCGTCTCTTACGGGCTGAACTCATAATCCTTGTCAAAACAGAGAAACACGTATTAGGATGAGCATAAAATGGTGACTATGGGTGGTTACTCAGACTTCACCACTACCATGTCACAACATCTCCTTATATCTCCATTGAGGCAATTTCACAAACACATTGTGGGCAAGACATTTTTTTATTTCATATTCATGGCCCAAGGGAATCAAGAAGACTTCCCCAATTCACTACACCCACACATTCCACATTTCTTTTTTTGTTTTAAACCATCACCCACCAACAACACCATTCCACACATTCAAAACACAGCCCTTCACCAAACATATGCTAAAAACGAAATTACACTAAAAAGAAGAAGAAAAACTAAACAAAACAAAATCCTATCACTAACACTACATTAGAACAACACTAATAAGCATAATACAACAAAAATAGAAGAAAAGGAGAAGGGGGGGTCGGAATCATACCTTGGGGGGAAGAAGATGAGGGATGTTGTGAAGGAGGAAGAAGAAGAAGAGAGTATGGAGGGGAGGGTTAGGGTTTAGAGAGAGAGAGAGAGAGAAGCGGGGATTTTAAGGGGGGTTGTTTATTTTGATATAGGGAAGGGTTTTAAAATTAAAATAAGAGTGAGAAAAGAAAGAAAAAATATCAGCGGTCGTCGCCACGGTCGACGCCGCGGTCTGAGACAGAGTCTCCCACTGTAGTCACCGCGGTCAGAGTCGCGACTGCGATGAAAAATTCAACGTTCAGTGATTTCCACGGTCCTGGTCGCGGCTGGCAAATTTTTTTTTTGTCTTTTAAACACAAAGTTACATACTACACTTACAACACATTCGTGGGTTGCCTCCCATGCAGTGCCTGATTTAATGTCGCGGCACAACGCAAGTGGTTGAGCCTTCACTCCTCATTCGTGTACTGGGGTTCTTTCAAATTGATCACCACTATATTCCCTTTTTCTTCAGCTATTCCAAGGTAATGTTTCAACATTTGCCCATTTACTGAGAACTTGTTTGTCCCATCTTCTGACTCAATCTCAACATCTCCACTTGCAAACATTTGCACCACTCTAAATGGCCCTGACCATTGGGACTTTAACTTACCCTGAAACAATCTCAGCCTTGAATTATATAATAATACCTTGTCACCGGGTTTGAAATTTTTGTCCACAATGTGCTTGTCATGCATCTTCTTCATTCTTTCCTTGTAGAGCCTCATGCTTTCAAAGGCTTGATATCTAAATTCTTCCAGCTCATGCAACTCTGTCAGTCGATTTTNTAATACCTTGTCACCGGGTTTGAAATTTTTGTCCACAATGTGCTTGTCATGCATCTTCTTCATTCTTTCCTTGTAGAGCCTCATGCTTTCAAAGGCTTGATATCTAAATTCTTCCAGCTCATGCAACTCTGTTAGTCGATTTTGTCCAGCTGCTTCGGGATCCATGTTCAATTGTTTTAGTGCCCACCAAGCTCAATGTTCTAGCTCCACAGGAAGGTGACAGGCCTTCCCAAATACCAACTTGTATGGTGACATACCTATTGGTGTTTTGAACGCAGTTCTATAGGCCCAGAGTGCGTCATCAAGCTTCTTTGCCCAATCAGTTCGTGTGGCATTCACCGTCTTGGCTAGTACACTTTTTATCTCCCTGTTGGACACTTCAACCTGCCCACTGGTTTGCGGATGGTAAGGGGTAGCCACCTTGTGGCGTACATCATACTATGCAAGCAATTTCTTGAAGGCTCTGTTACAGAAGTGAGTGCCTCCATCACTGATGATCGCTCTTGGTATCCCAAATCGGGTGAATATATTCTTTTTCACAAAACCTATCACCACTCTTGCATCATTAGTGGGAAACGCTGCAGCTTCCACCCATTTAGACACGTAATCCACAGCAACAAGTATGTATTTATTGCAAAATGAGCTGACAAAGGGGCCCATGAAGTCAATCCCCCAAATATCAAACACCTCTACCTCTTGAATCGGGTTCATGGGCATCTCATGATGACGGGAAATGTTCTCGGTTTGCTGACATTCATCGCAGCCCTTCACCCATAGGTGCAAATCTCTAAACATTATTGGCCAAAAGAACCCGACCTCTAGCACTTTTGCAGCTGTCCTGGCTCCTCCAAAATGTCCTCCATATGCTGATGCGTGACAAGCCTGCAAAACAGAAGATTGTTCTATCTCGGGGACACACCTCCGGATCATATTATCAACACAAATTCTAAACAAACAAGGCTCGTCCCAATAATACATGCGGCAATCACGATAAAACTTTTTCTTTTGGATAGATGAAAGGTTATAGGGAACAATATCGCAGCCCAGGTAGTTTGCAAAATCTGCATACCATGGCGCATCCTCAAGACTGGCTGCGAGCAGCTGCTCGTCTAGAAAGGTTTCCAGGATCTCTTCGACCTCGACTGATTTTTCAGCTCCTTCAAGTCGCGATAGATGATCAGTGACTTGATTTTTTGTGCCCTTATGGTCACGAATTTCGAAGTCGAATTCTTGCAACAGTAGCACCCAACGAATCAGGCGCGACTTAGACTCCTTTTTCTCAATTAGGTACCTGAGATCTGCATGGTTAGTATATACAATTACCTTGGAACCAATCAGATATTATCAGAACTTGTCAAAAGCAAACAACACCGCAAACATCTCCTTCTCCGTCACTGTATAATTGAGCTGTGCACCGCTTAGCGTTCTACTTGCGTAGTAAATCGGGTGCATCAGCTTATCTTTTTGCTGCCCTAAGACTGCTCCTATAGCATAGTCGCTAGCATCACACATGAGCTCAAATGGTTGTTCCCAGTTGGGTGCAACAATGATGGGTGCCGTTATCAATCTCTTCTTCAGTTCCTCAAATGCCAACCTGCAATCATTAAAATACAAAGGGCTGATCCTTTTCAAGGAGTTTGCATAATGGGTTAGCAATTTTGGAAAAATCTTTTATGAAACGTCGGTAGAACCCGGCGTGTCCAAGAAAACTTCTCACCACCTTGACTGAAGTGGGCGGTGGTAGCTTCTCAATCATGTCAACCTTAGCATGGTCGACCTCAATTCCTTTACTGGACACTCGATACCCCAGGACTATGCCTTCTTGTACCATAAAATGGCACTTCTCCCAGTTTAGCACTAAGTTTGTCTCCACACATCTTTTAAGCACACTCCTTAAGTTGTGAAGACAGTCTTCGAATGAATCTACCACCACGGAGAAATCATCCATAAAGACCTCCATAATATCCTCCACCATGTCTGTGAAGATGGCTAACATGCACCGTTGAAAAGTCACGGGTGCATTGCAAAGCCCAAAAGGCATTCTCCGAAAGGCAAAGATGCCATACAGACAGGTGAAAGATGTTTTCTCTCTATCTTCGAGGTTTATTGATATCTGATTGTACCCCGAATATCCATCCAAGAAATAGAAGTGCGATCGCTCAGCCAGCCTGTCCATCATTTGGTCAATGAAAGGTAAGGGGAAATGGTCCTTCCGGGTGGCTGTATTCAATTTCCTGTAATCCATGCAGATACGCCACCCTGTGACTGTACGAGTTAAGACCAACTCATTGTTCTCATTTTTTACAACAATCATTCCCCCCTTTTTTGGCACACATTGGACAGGGCTGACCCAATTACTATTAGAGATGGGGAAGATGATTCGTGCATATAACCATTTGATTACTTCTTCTTTACAACCTCTTTCATGTTTGGGTTCAGCCTTCGCTGGTGTTCCCTGGAAAGTCTGTGCCCCTCTTCCAGGAGAATCTTATGCATATAGAAGGCTGGGCTGATACCCTTTATGTCTGCCATGGTCCAGCCAATGACAGTCTTATTTTCCTGCAGTACCTGTACGAGCCGTTCTACCTGCACATCTAGCAAATTGGATGATATGATAACAGGCAAGGTCGAATCAGGGCCTAAGAACACATACCTGAGGTGATCTGGGAGTGGCTTCAATTCCAACTTGGGTGGTTCTTCTATCGATGGCTTTGTTGGAGGAATGGCCTTTTTTTCTAGCTCAAGGGACTCGAACTGAGGTTCCCTTGACCAAAATCCTCGGCCTTCCAGTGCCATGACCCATTCAGCTAACCCTTCACCATTCATTTCGTCTAAATTCGTCAGACATACCTCCAATGGATCTTTTACAGTTAGGGTCATATCATCTTCTTGCAGGATTACATCCACTTCTTCCACTAGAGAGCAATTAGCATATTCACCGGGTCTCCTCATAGATTGCTGAACATTGAATATGACTTCTTCATCGTTCAATCTCATTTTTAATTCCCCAATTTCACAGTCGATCAGTGCTCTCCAGTGGCTAAAAATGGTTTCCCTAAAATAAGGGGTATCTCCTCATCCACCTGACAATCCAAGATAACAAAGTCCGCAAGGAACACGAACTTCCCCACTTGCACCAACACATCATCAAGAATACCAGTGGGCCTCTTCACTATGCGGTCAGCCAGCTGTAGCAGCATCGAAGTTGGCCTAGCTCTACCAATGCCCAGTTTGGTGTACACAGCCAACGACATCAGATTTATGTTGGCTCCCAAATCACACAACGCCTTTGCAAAGGCATAACTTCCAATTGTGTATGGAATAGTGAAGTTACCTAGGTCCGATATCTTTTGAGCCATCGGTTTTTCCACCACTGCGCTGTAGGTCTGTGTCAAAGTTATAGTGGATAGATCCTGAAAATCAAACTTCCGTGACATTAGATCTTTCATCATCTTAGCATAACCGGGCATCTCCCTCAAGGCATCCATCAAAGGAATATTCAACTGAATTTGACGCAACATCTCCATGAACTTCTTATATTGGTCTGCCTTCTTTTGTTTGACCAGTCTTTGAGGGAAGGGTGCAAGTATAACCCTTTGTGCATTGCTTGATGGCTTCTCTCTGTTAGAATTTTCTGGCACAAGAGGTGCCACCTGTTCCGCAACTTGCTGATTAATCTTTTCTTTGTCTTTTTCCTCCTGACTCTGCTCAACCACCACTTTAGTAAGTTCTGTTGGTTCCTCTACCTCTAATTGAACTGGAGTGGCTGGTGTAGTATCCTTGTTGGCTTGTGCAATTTCCTGCTCTCTATCTAAATCTCTCCCATTCCGGAGACTTACTGCCATCAGCTGATTCGGGTTTTGGTCCTTGGGGTTTATGTTTGTGTCTGCAGGCAAAGTTCCCTAAGGACGGTTGTTCAAAGCCATGGATAGCTGACCTANTATGCGTTTCAATATTCTTTATGGCTGAATCATGCACTGCCAATTTTTCCTGCACTTTATTATTT